TCCTAACCCAAAATCAGTTGAGCTTATGTTTGCTTCAGGTTTCTTGGTAGTAGTTTGGCCATTCAATAGCAAAGTCCATCCAATAATAATAGCAGCAATGTGTCATAACCCTGTGGTGAGGATGCACCTGTACTCTGTCACCCATTCCCTGCCTGGCAAAGGCTGGCCCCTGAGCTGACTGTGGTGCATGAACATGTCCCCCCACTGCCTTGACACCAAGCATTTCTTCCTTCCATTGACCACCAACTCTGGCATTTCTTCATTCTGTTAACCACTGACACAGGGTATTTGACAAAGTCCCGTGGAAAGAAGAACATTCTGAAAGGTTTTTCCAAACATTTATCACCTCCTCTTAGCTCACACCACTGAACAAATACTCAGTGATTTGATGGGGTGGAAAATGAGGCCATCATTAGACATCATGGGGCCCCATATTGCCTGCCTGACAGGGCCTTCCCCCCTTGATGGGATGAACCAACTAATTCAGTTTGAACTTAGGTGCAGACCGAACTTTGGCTGTTTGGATGAACCCCCAAACTATTGCCCGATCGGCCCCCTGTTTTGTGGGAGCTGAACATCATATAAAGAAGCAGAATTTGTACCACTTATATATATGACAGCATCCCACTGTCAGTGGTTCCTAATGTAGCAATCTGGCCTGCCCCAGCAGACTGATATATAAGAATAGGTCCGAAAGGTAATTGTTTGGAACTGCGACATGGAGAATGATTTTGCCTGCTCCCAAAAATGAGTAAATAGTCCGCTCTCTGACCTCTATTTAATTGCTGGGAGCCACGGCCCCTGGAATTAATGTGTATGCCCAAACGTATTCAAAGAGTCCCTTCTTGGCATTCTGGTGAACCGATGGGACCCAGGCCCCATATTGAAGGGCCAGCTCTACCTTCCTATCAGTGGCCCTGTGGATAAATGATTAATAACTAACACCTCAACAGTAGCAAGCAGAAGCAATCAATATATTGAGCTTAGGAAAAACCTGCAGAGCACAGAAAAGGGAAATGAATGCTTAGGCTGGCTACAACCTAGCTATAAAAGCAAACCGAATTTAACAATGGACACCCCAGCTTATGGCAGGGTCATTACATTCCTTATTTTTAAGGTTAGGGTTTATTTATACACTGTTTATATTATGTTTGCCCTGACAAAGAGGGAACCCTATAGCAGTTGAAATGTTAAGGATTGTTGTCTTTAGACTTCTCTGATTAAATAATGCTGTTCGACTCCTATACCTTTGGTGTGCCACTTTTTCCCTCACACCACTGAATTATTGTGACCTGCAGTATGGGACCTTTGGTCTGCATGTGCTTGGAGACTGGTGTGGGAAACAGGGTAACTGTACTTTAAAATAAACCACATATTCCTGCTTGCCAACTGTCACCCCCATGACTAGGGAGAGTGCAACAGTATCCACTACGGGCACGCTAGTGGATAATAGCAGTTGACAGGCCTTACTCTAAAGTCAGATGACAGGCCCTAAGTAATAAAGTGAAACCAGTTTCAAAGAGGTACACAAAGGACATTTTTATGACTAATGATGGCAGACCTTTTGTAGTGTCCTCTTTTATATATAGGACTGTTAAAGGAAAGCAGGTGGTCCCAGGTGCAGGACAATGTGCAAATTACATCTATTCCTGCACCTGCAACTAGACATCTGCATACTGAAAACTTTTCATTTTGTTTAGTTTGGGATGCATGACTATTGCACCAAAGATAGGCTCGTCCACTTCCCATTACCATCATTACCGTTCCGCACCAACCCCCTTCCCCTTAACCAATTATACTTACAAAAGACATGACACCAATTTTGGAGTAAATGGCCAACATGGCCTTTTATTAACAACTCAAGTTAAATACACCAACCATTCCTTATAACAGAAACCCAAAGAATTGTTGTTGGTCTTCGAAGGCACCCCAAAACGATCCGAAATGCACCTGCGGACAACCATATACACTAGGCCTCCAGCCGCAACCAACCAGCTCGGAGACAACCATACCGTCCGAAGTGCAGCACCACCACCTTCCAGTTAAACCTTGGTTAACTGGGAATGTCCCCGGGCACCCCATACCACCGATGGGTCCCACACCATTGTTTTACCTTCCAAGATGAGAACCGCCTCCAAAGACCAACAACCACCCGCGAACCAACATAACACCCCCCTCTTCCTGGAGGGACCCAATACTCACCCAAACAGGGAGGGCGGGCGGGAAGCTCAAGCTCCTGACGTCCAGCTCAACTGACGCCCCCTCACAGAACCCCCCACCCTAAGGTGCAGCAAACCCCACCTACACCAACCTCTACCAATCAGATACCCCCACTATCAATAACAAACCCCCTGGAGCTAACCTTAACCCTTTCTGCTCCTCCTTCCCCCCACTCTGGGCCTAGTCATGTATGCCCTGCGCTATTTCTTCTTTATTTTCGCTACGGGCATTTCTTTCATTCATTGAAGAATTTTGTTGTGCCATATTCTTCAAATTGACTTGATTCATTTTCGGAATTCGTTTAGTATATTCGGCATTCCTTTTGTATATTCACTGGTCTGTGTGGATTAGAAAAATGTTGCAGTTTTTCCAGAAGATTGCTATATATTCGATATATTATCAAATTGGAAGGATTTGATATTTTCAGATGCTAGTCCAAGCCACTAAGAGAAATGGCATGAGCTGATTGAACAATATTGATTGGCATCATGTACAGTACATTCAAATTAATGAATGGAACAAAATTCAAATCCATTCATTATCCAAATCGAGTGAATTAGAAAATGGAATTAATTTCCCCATGGGCCTAAACTAGTATCACATCAAATGACAAAATCTGAATGAAACTAATACATTCATCAATTTCATTAAAACATTTTTTTTTTATTTGTTGATATTTGTTACTATGTCTTTTCGGAAATTTGTATATATCTGAATCTCTAAAAAAAGCAATTTTCATACAAAAAACAAATTGTAACAAAATGCAGATGTCTACCCGCAACCACCCACAGCCAAAACACACTGTTCTTTTGCAGAGGCACTGGGCTGCCATTCATTCTTAATGGTACCCCCTCACATCTGAAAATGCAGCTCTTTTTCTGGTGTAGGAAATCGCATGGAGCTGTGTTTTTAAGAAGGTGCAGTTAAAAATGAATAGGCTGCAGTGCAAATGCAAACATGAGTTGCAAACTGTGACTCTAGCACAGTGTTTCTCAACCTGTGGGTCGCGACCCCTTTGGGGGTCGAATGACCCTTTCACAGGGGTCCCCTAAGACCATCAGAAAACACATATTTCTGATGTGTAAAGAGCAGCTACTGTGTAGAAAGCAGCTGCTGTGTTGAAAGCAGCTACTCTGTTAAAAGCAGCTACTGTGTTGAAAGCAGCTACTGTGTTGAAAGCAGCAGTATTGGAGGTAAAACGACACTCATGAATTATAATTACTGGGTAAATAATTTTATGGTTGGGGGTCACCACAACATGAGGAACTGTATTAAAGGGTCACGGCATTAGGAAGGTTGAGAACCACTGCCCTAGCATAACATATCTAGTAGCTTTTGTATTTCCTGAATCACTGACTTAGAACTCCTAATCTGCATACTTGATCCCAGTCAGTGACTCATTAGGAAGTAAAGAATGTGGCTTATCCTGATAGCCAGACAATACGCATTTTCAAAGTTTGGTCAACAATGGCAACCTTAACATCGCTCTCAGAACAGGTTACCTTTAAACATTTGAAATGGTCCTCCGGTTGGCTTTACAACCAAGCCTAATTCTACTTATCCATTTTCTATTTCACCTAAACGTTTTGAAGTTAGGAAAGTCCTAGTGCTTATGGCAGCGTGAAAATGTACTGTCATTACTCAGCTTCCAAAGTGCTCAGTGGAGCCGAATTTCAGATTCCTTCAGCAGCCCGCAGCATCTAGAAGCAGCTACCTGGTGCCGCATGCAGGCTCCCGGCTTATCAGCTTTGTCCTTATTGACTAATTTGTCATCACTGGCAGAGGATGTTCCATTAAGTAACCACCAATGAATTATACCCCACAGTCGTCTGGAGCTTCCAAGATCTTGGCACGATCCCTGTGCCTATATATTTCGCCCAGTAAGGGAAATCTTTAAATGTTTAAAACAAGTTTGTTCTTCTTGCCTTTTAAATAAAACCAATATAGAGAAATGAAAGATAAAGTAAGCCTGACCCTGCTTAGTGATTACTATAAAGTTACAGAAAAAGTCCTAGTGCTGCTAGCTCCTGCATTGGCCTTTTTTTGCACAGAGCTGCCAATGCCACTATGAGTTTGGAGAGGCTACCAGGGAGCAGGGGAGGTGACTATACACAAGAGGTTAATTAACGGATAGGAGGTTAAACTAATCTTGAATGAAAGGGGTGGGCTGGAGGGGAGGATGCCCTGGGTCCAATGGTTTACAAGGCTGGGCAGTTTGGCATCTTTGCCCTGGGCACTGGATGGCCTTGTCCTAGTACTGGTCATGGGCCTGTTATGCTGATCCACTGGCTTCTGTACTATCTAAAGTTACTGAGCAAGTGTGGTAGTCAAGAAAGTCAGAAGTCCTTATCAGCACTTGGAGAAAGTTAGTCATCCAAAGAAAAAAAAAGAGGGTAGTGCAAAGGCTAAGTGGTTAGCACTTCCACCTGGGCAGCACTAGGGTTGTTGGTTCAAATCCCACCCATGTCGTTATCTGCACAGAGTTTGCATGTTCTTTCTGTGCCTGTGTGGGTTTCCTCCCACACTCCAAAAAACATGCTGGTAGGGTAATAGGTTTCTGTCTAAATTGGCCCTAGTATGTGTTAGTATGAATGTGAGTGACCTTGGATTGTACTCCATGGGGGCAGGAGCTGATGTGAATATACAATATATATGTAAAGCACTGCATACATTGATGGTACTATATAAATACCTGTAATAAAATAAATAATAAATAAAAGAGGGTCACCATGAAAGCAAGACAACCAGCATTTTCAGAAGGGGAGAGGTCAGCAATGGCAGCCTCTATATATCTATTTGTAATAAATTTCCTTTAACCACTTCCCGTCCAGACCATGTATATAAATGGGCGGACGGAAGCAGTGCAGGGGAGGGTGGCCATTTATAAATGTTCTCTTGCTTCGCTGCCTGTGCGCGCTCCCTGGGAGCACGTGGCACTGCGATCTGGTGACTGCTGTGTCCGAAGGACACATCGGAACACGATCGCTGTATGGGACCTCTGTGTGAGGTCCCGATCATGTGATCACTGATTGGCCAATCAGTGTTCACATGAATAGTAGTAAGTAAGATGTCATTTCTGACATCATTGCTTACTACATGTGAAATCTGTGAATGATCACAGAGGTCACATGGTACAAGGCTATTCACAACAGCCTTGTACCATGTGACAAGCTGTGACCAATCACAGCTCACAGAGTATTTCTCAATGGTTGCAAGAATGCAGCTAGAGCGAAGGAGAAATGATTGATTTTACTGATTGCTTTATGGGTGTAAAAGCAATCAGTGTAAAAAAAAATCTTCATCACCCCACACAAGTAGTACAGTGTCACTATGGTAACACTGTACTGCTAGAATGACAGTATGTAAAAAAAAAAACCATAAATAATAATATAAAAAATAAATAAAAATATAAAAACATTTTTTGAAAAATTATAATTTTTGGTTATAAACTAATTTTGGCTATTTGTTTTTACTAAAAAGATAACTGAATACATTTTGGCCAAGATTTATGAAGAAAGATTATTTATTTATAAGAAAAAACACTTTTTTTTCTAAACATTTGGACTTTTTCATTTATATTGCAAAATAAATAAATAAATAAATGGCAGTGGTGAATAAATACCACCAAAATAAAGTTTTATCTGTCAAAACAATGCTAAAAAAATTCATATGGGTACAGTGTTGCATGACCGCGCAATTGTCATTCAAAAAGTGATAGACTTGAAAGCTGAAAATTGGCCTGGACAGGAAGGGGTGAAAGTGTCCGGACTTGAAGTGGTTAAGGTTGTGTTTGCGGGGGAAAGCAGAGGTTTACTTGGCCTGTTAGAACCAAAAGTGTTCCTTCATTCCAATCTGAAAGCAGAAAATATGGCTGCCCACATGTGTATGGACAATTAACAATTCTACATAGACAAGGTTTTGAAAACACTTCTTGATAATAAGAGCAGATATATTGGATGTGTATAATTGAAACAAAATCAATAAACTATTAATGTCCTTATTTCATTACTCACTCACTGTTGGCATTCTCTAATGCTGGTTCTTGGTCTTTTGCAGGTACAATCCCACCACTCATAAAGTCCATTGTGGCGAGCGAAGAAGGTCTGTCAAACAACAAGGGGATAAAAATGCTGGTGACAATTTCCTGCATCCTCATTGCCGTCCTGCTTGTCTTCGCCTTGCTACTGATTGTCAGGAGGAGGAGAAGAGAGCAGAGACTGAAGAGACTGAGAGGTAAGAAGCTCCCCCTGTCAATGTGTAGCATGTGCACCAAGCAGATAAGGAGGAAGCCTTAGTCTAAGCAAGAACAACGGTGTATTACAAATGTCAGCCTTGGTTCCTTGCTAATGTCAGTTGTGAATTTCTGCTGCAGTGTATAAATGATGCACAACTTACAGCTCAAGAGAAACAGAACAAGTTTTTGTATATTGTAGAAGAATCAGGGAAGAATGTGTTTGGAAATCAACATCTCCTTCATCAGGCCAAAAAAAGCCTTTTGTGCTTTGCTAAATTTTCAGGAAAAGTTAAAAATGCAGAGTCAAAGCCTACCCAATGCTTGTTTTTGACATAGGTATAGATGTAGGTTATCAGATTTCGAGAGCAACTTAGACTTGATTTGTAGGTGTACAAAGCCTCCTAAAGTGGTAACAAATCCAAAAACGAAAGTGTAATATATTTCAGCTTACCATTCTTTAGGCCCATGATCTAGGACAGGGGTCTCCAAACATTTCAGACAAAGGGCCAGGTTACTGTTCTTCAGACTTCAGGAGGGCTGGATTGTGGACAGTGGGGGTAGAAAATGTCCAAGGCCCAGCATCAGTGAGAATAAACATTGCCTCAGGATTGGTGCTCAATAGGGGGAGGAGTATTTCCCCATCATTGATATTAGTGGGAGGAATAATGCCCCATCATTGGTATCAGTGGGTGGGATAGTGCCCCATCATTGGTATCAGTGGGAGGGATCGTGCCCCATCATTGGTATCAGTGGGAGGAATAGTGCCCCATCATTGGTATTAGTGGGAGGAATAGTGTCCCATCATTGGTGACAGTGAAAGGAATAGAACCCCATCATTGGTATCAGTGGGAGGGATAGTGCCCCATCATTGGTGACAGTGAAAGGAATAGAACCCCATCATTGGTATCAGTGGGAGGGATAGTGCCCCATCATTGGTGACAGTGAAAGGAATAGAACCCTATCATTGATGACAGTGAGAGGGATAGTGCCCCATCATTGGTATCAATGAGAGGGATTAAATGTTTGTTTTTGGGTTTAATGCCCTTTGTGCATCAGGCTGCTCTAAGTTAACTCAGGTCGCCCTTCCACTGCTGAAAGGGTTTACTGAACCCCATAAACAGAAGATCCCATTTTTAATGTAGACCTGTGCGTGATGCTTGGCAGAACAAGTGGGACTCAAATGTCCTCTTAAGCAAAATGTCTACGCATGGCTAAAATATTAAAAATTAAGCTTGGCCTAACCTTTACCTTACACTGAGCATACCCTAAACTTATTCTTAACACAATCTCAAAAACTATGTTAACCCAATGCCAATAACTTGTTCCAATGAAAAGAAAGATATTTTACCAATAAGAACTCTGATATATGTGACAAAAAGTTTTGGGACACCTGACCATCACACCTATACAAGCCTAATGGACGCCCCATTCCAAAACCATACGCATTAATATAGAATGCCCCTATACCACTCAAATCCCCCTTCCCTCATGCAGCTTTAACAGCTTCCACTGTCCTGGGAAGGCTTTCTACAAGATTTTGGAGTGTGTCTGTGGGAATTTGTGTACATTAAGCCAAAAGAGCATTAGTGAGGTCTGGTACTGATGCTGGACTCATGACTGGTATTCCAGTTTATCCCAAAGGTGTTATGTAGGGTTGAAGTCAAGGCTCTGTGCATCCCAGTGAAGTTCCTCCACACCAAACTCCTCAAACCATGTCTTTATAGAGCTGGCTTTGTGCCCTAGCACAGTCATACTGGAACAGAAAAGGGCCTTCACCAAGCTGTTGTGAAAAACCTGGAGTTCTTAAATATCTTTGTACTAATCACTGGAAATGCCTGAACTTTTGGAGGGTACATACAATTTAATCTATGTAGTAGGTGTAATAGCCTGGTTTCCACAATCGTTTGGCCATATAGTGTATAAGATCAAAATTGCTGTACTCCAAGTCTCTGGTGGCCAAATCTCACAATAATTTGAACTGAAAACCAATGTTCTGCAATAGGGCTCCCAATTCTACACAAACGTTGTGCAGACAGCTTTGCTGTGATTACGGGGTGCTGAATCAAAGGACAATTCATTTTAAAGTGACAAAGGACCTGAAAGTATTCACATATTCTTAACAAGCAATAAAGGAGATTTAAAACAAGCCCTAACTTACCGCTCTAGCTGCATGTACTGTGCAGTAATTGATATGCAAATATTACTCTGTTTTTGAACATCAGAGGGCTGACACACTGCCAAGATTTGGCTTTCCATAGAAAATTGCTGAGATTTCAGAGCCTCTCTTGAAATTGAAGATTCATTTTTCCACAGAGTCTATAGCTACAGAGATGAATTTAATTTTTTTAAGTGCTTTTGCGTCTTTTTTTTAGAGTATGTAAATTCTTTAGTGTGCATTTTCCAGGCATCGATTCACTTTAACCACTTGCCGTCCGGCCGCTGTATATAAACGGTCAGACGGTGGCAGTGCAGGGGCGGGTTGCCGTTCATAAATGGCGCCTGCCATTTTGGACTGTGTGTGCTCCTTGGGAGCAGGCATCACTGCAATCCAGTGCCCGTTGTGTCCTCCGGACACAGTGGAACACCGATCGTCATTGGCCAATCAGTGGTCACATGCAGAGTAGTAAGCAAGATGTCACTTCTGACATCATTGCTTACTACGTGTGAAATCTGTGAATGATCACAGAGGTCACATGGTACAGGGCTATTCACAACAGCCTTGTACCATGTGACCAATCACAGCTCACATGTTATTTCTCAATGGCTGCAAGAATGCAGCCAGAGAGAAGGAGAAATGATTGCTTTTCCAGCCTTTATGGGTGTAAAAGCAATCAGTGTAAAAAAAAAAAAATCTTCATCACCCTCCACAAGTAGTACACAAGTAGTACAGTGTCACCATGGTGACACTGTACTGCTAGGGTGACAGTATGTAAAATAAATAAATAAATAATAATATAAAAAAAAAAAAATTAAAATTATATTTTTGGTTATAAACTAATTTGGGTTATTTTCTTTTCACTAAAAAGATAACTGAATACATTTTGGCCAAGATTTATGAGGAAATATTATTTATTTGCAAAATTTTATAAGAAAAACACTTTTTTTTCAAACTTTTTGGACATTTTCATGTATATAGCAAAAAAAAATAAAAATCCCAGTGGTGAATAAATACCACCAAAATAAAGTTTTATCTGTCTCAAAAAAAGCTAAAAAATGAATATGGGTACAGTGTTCTATAACCGCGCAATTGTCATTAAAAGTGTGATAGCGCTGAAAGCTGAAAATTGGCCTGGACAGGAAGGGGGTAAAAGTGTCCGGACTTGAAGTGGTTAAGTAATCTCCACAGAATTTTACTAAAACTGGGGGATTTCTTTACACAGTATGGTCATTTCGGACACAAATAGTGCTTGGCACTTTTAATAATTGCGACTTCTATTATAGGCCAATAAACCCGCACTGCCTAATAATACACAACTATTAAAATCCTGCAGTACATTGTTTTATGTGGATAGTAAAATGAACAGACTTTCATCTTAACTGTAATTTTAGTATAAAGTAATCCCAATAAAAGCAGGATATTGTTTTTGAAATACTGAATACTAAAACTTTTTTTCATATATACTAAAATTTCTAAATTCAACCAATTGAGAGCTACGCTCCCAGCATTGGGAAACACATATATAAATTAAGAAACTCTGTCTTTGCCACCCAACCATAACTTCATGAAAAGATTTTAATTTCCAGTAATATGCCTGAAGGGGCGTATTTGTGGTGAGGCAAACAAGGCGTTTACCTATGGTGGCACTTTTCAGGGGGCCGTTGCTTCGCTACTGCCGCCCTCCTTCCCACAGAAGCAACAGGGGCTGTTATGTAGCTTACCTGTGTCCCACTTCAGTCCAGTCCATGAAGGCACTGCTGGAGGAGGGGTAGAGAGGGTGTCTGGTGTCCTCATTTCCTGGGTGGATGATGGATCACAGATGCTGTGGGAATTTTTCTTCTGGTTGACTTGCCAACCTGCCCCTCTCCTATCTGGCCAAACCCCCGGGATCACTGGGCGGCCTATGGCAGCCTGTCCCTCCCTTTTCAAGCTCTGCCTCCTCGCCTGTGATTGGCCACCGGATCTGTACCCCAGGGAAAGCACACAGGCAGAGAGGAGCCGAGCAGTAGCACGAGGAAGCTGATCGGTGTGAGGGAGTGGCTGGAGATGGTGAAGAGATGGAGAGCGGCTGGACAAGGAAGGCAGCTGATCGGTAAGTGTCTGTGCCGTGCGGCTGGGATATGGGGAGAGCAGAGCAGAGGGTGCTGCTGCAGCCAGGTATGCTGGCTGTGGATGTGAGAGGGAGTGAGCCCGGGCTGGAGGAGGGGTCAGTAATGTAAGCATCATTGGTGTCAATTGGGGCACTATTCTTCCACTGACACCAATGATGGGGCACCATTCCTCCAAATGATACCGATAATGGAATAAAATAAGAGGTGGAGCTCTAATAGGAAGAGGTGGGGGCTAAAGAGGAAGGGGTGGAGTTTACAACGGGGTGGGTCTCAAACAGGAAGGGGAGGGCCAAATGTAGATGCGGCGGGGGGGCTGATTTTAGTTTTGCCTAGGGCAGCACAAAACCAAAATACACCACTGTGTGCCTGATTCAGAACTATAGTAAATCTGATGGTGCAGATTCCCCTGGCTTTATACTCAGATCTAGGGCTGCTAGGGCTCACAGATATTACTCCCTTCTAATGGTACTACGCGTGCTACACTGAGATACTACGTAGTACAATCAACCAATTTAGATCAAACTGAAAAAAAAAAACCGAACATCTAATACGCAGGAGTAGATGTCCACCTTTACAGTATACCATAAAGTTCATAAGTGTATGGGCCTAATTATGGGGATCTATATTCTTATCAATTAAGCAGCCTTCTGTTATTTTCCACCCGCGCGATAAACGGGCATTTGTAATGCAGATCGGCATGTTAAGTGCTTTAAAAGAAATGTAATTTACCACTTTTTTATTGTAAATGAAGCTGGAAAGCAGGATTCCTTCTCCACTTTGGTAGATGGTGTTGGAGGCGATGAGAGTGCTTTTAGGCCAAAGCCCCCCCCCCCCCCCCTTTATCATAATTTTAGCAATTCTGAAAGTGTTTTTATGAACTCAGAGTATAAAGGGGCATGTGTCCTCCTTCCACGTGACAGTGCTTTGATCTAGTGCACAATTGCCAGGCTCAAGTATTGTTACATCACAGAGAGGGTAACATCACCACTCATTCTAGCCTTCAATGCCAAGTATTTTGCTAGATGATCACTGGAGAGGTGAGTGTGAGTGAGTTGGGGGGCTTTTTGAAGACCCTGTCACTTTGTCTGGAAGGAACATAGCGACAGTGTCTCTTTAAAAAGCAACATCCACCAATAAAACTGCAGTGCAGATGTGTAGACTTTAAATTAATCAGTATTCGGCATCCCAAATAAATATGCACAAAATATGTAAACCAAACTTGTGTAAAATTCAAATAGTCCAAAAAAGTCACACTTTCACCCTTGAAAGCGAATAATATTATAAAAACCTTTTTTGTGTCAGTCAATCCATATAACAAAATAAAGTCCAAAATAAAATTAATCCTCCGTGTCCGACTTCAATATTCCCATAAATCTAGATCAGGTGAGTACCTCAAAAATAAAATAAAACTAATATAGTGTATTACCTCAATAAAATGAGTATATACTTTAACAACCAATAAGTATATAACAAATGCGTGCAAAAACAAACCAAGATTCAAAACGTGAGTAACATGTGAATCGTGAAAAATATAAATAAATGTGATAAACAGTGTACACTCATAAACCAAAAAATAAATAAATAAATCAACTAAAATAAAAAATAAAATATAATCAAAAATAAAAAAGATAAAATTAAGAAATTAAATAAATAAATAGATAAAATAATAAATGAATAAAAAAAAGGTGAACACTCCGTGAACACTTCTATAGAGCAAAAATGCATACAAATACCCTCACAAGAGTAATTTCAAGCCTTAACAAAGGGAAGGGAGTTCGGAAGTGATGAAACGCGTCAAAAGGACATGACACCTGACATAATTCCGCAAACCGGAAGTGGTGGAGTGGTCATTTTAACTGTTGGAAAAGGCATGAATAAGGTTCCAGGAAGCTGCTCAGACTGAGTCATGGGAACATATTGCTCATTTGTATTATCCCCAATGTAAGCATTACTATTAAATGTTTTATTATCCACTACACTTTGCTACATGGGCCTCTCTATTTGCATGAGGATTATGGAGTCATAAGGGCTTTCCTTAAGGATTGGAACCCTATATACAGCATTCTGGAGTAGGAGTCTGAGAAGTGACTACAACACCTGAGTGTTCTTTGTTAAAGCTTGAAATTACTCTTGTGAGGGTATTTGTATGCATTTTTGCCCTATAGAAGTGTTCACGGAGTGTTCACCTTTCTTTTATTCATTTATTATTTTATTTATTTATTTAATTTTTTATTTTTATCTTTTTTATTGTTGATTATATTTTATTTTTTATTTTAGTTGATTTATTTATTTATTTTTTGGATTATGAGTGTACACTGTTTATCACATTTATTTATTTATTTATAGTGTACACAGAGTGATTTCACGATTCACGTGTTACTCACATTTTGAATCTTGGTTTGTTTTTGCACACATTTGTTATAAGTATATACTTATTGGTTGTTAAAGTATATACTAATTTTATTGAGGTAATACACTATATTACTTTTATTTTATTTTTGAGGTACTTTAGTACTGAAGTATCTGGTCCATCCACTCCCTCACATTGTTGTTGGTTAGTAAGGACAACCATCATAGTGATGGACAAATAGCGAGGTTTGGGAAGAAGTGGAGGGTGGGCCAGAGTTTTGACATCAGAATAGGCAATTTATGTATATCTCAGCCCTCAGAGCACCCAAGAAGCTATAGAGAGCTATGTGTTGACACATGTAGGTGCTCGTTTTGCAATGATTTTGATTGGCAAGGCCACCCACCACAGTGATGGACCTGTAGCACAGGTCAAGCTGGCTGATTTATCCCAGGTTCTGTTCCCTGTAAGCCACATGGCAGCCAGGAACACAGTAGTAGTTCTGTCTCTCAACTCAAAAATTAGGCAGTGAATGTCTTTTTTGCGGTCTAATGCTGATTCAACTTGAGTAGGATGCAGGGTGAGCCTTGGGATACTCAAAACTTAGCAGAAAAGATAATGGAGGACACATCTGACTGATCTGTCTTTTTAGGGTGCAGCCACCTTTTTGAAGCTAGTGATAGTAAACTGCAGCTCTGGGAACTCCATTGTGAAGGTAAAACCTGAGCCAATGAACTTGAAGTAGCTTTCCCCAAAGTTACTAAAAAAACCCAAATCTGCTCTAATTTACCACTAATCAAATACTAAGCAGCCACTTGTGTAACTGTGATACCGGTCAATAATATAACTAATACTTTAAAAAACAGCGCACATGTAAAACAAATACCAAAATACTCATAAATGAACCATCAAATGTGATTATAAACACACAAATAAAGTGCAAATGTGAAAAAAATATATATAAGGTGCATATACACCTTATAAAAAAGCAGACTGATACCACGCAATGTATAAAAAAAATGCTGATGACAATTGGCCTTGTGCATGATGACGTCACATGCAGGCCACTCCCTACAAGTTTCATCAGAATGATGTCTTTGGGGGACAGGCT